TAAAAATTTCTGGCTTTAAAATAATTTGCATACGGTTTTATGGAGCAACTGAAACAGGAATAGGCCGGGGAAAGTTTCAGGCCTAGGCTGTTGGTTGCTGTTAATGCCCTGTGGCATGAGAGCCAATTCAAATATATGTAACGGGACGGTGGACGGTCACCAGCATCACTATTTAATCCTCAAGTTATGCATCAATCGGAAGCTGTTTGTGAATGAGGTGCGACGCCGCTGTCACTAAATTTCCGTTTACGATTCTATTGTGTTGACTGCGTATTACCGTAAACTCACGACCGCGGGACCACGAGTGACTCGTGACCACGCACAATACCTCATAGTTCATCCTTTGTAGTAAGTCACTTGCATGCAGAGGTGGTAGAGGATTTTACATCTGGCATATCAGTAGCAGTTATGTAGTAGTATCTAATCCACAATAATGACAGCAGTCACTATCGGTTGAGCATTTACAGCGATTAACATTCGTCCCCGTGTTTCGTCTGCTGAAGCTGCGATGTATGACGTTTCGGCGGTTGCAATTTCTAATTACGATTCTATAGAGGTGACTGTGCGAGGTCATAGAGTCAGTGTGTTGTCCTGCGCTCGTGAGTTTAAAACTACGCGCTGACTTAATGAACTCGCACAGTCACCACAATGGAATGTTAATTAGAAATTTAGAAGTTTAACAAGGGCATCGTACTTCACTCGCACAGAGCCTTCCAAAATGGTAAATGGCACGAGGGGTTAAATCAAACAGTTGACCAGATTCACAGCGGCGAGTACAGCACGATTGTTGTCAGCAACTACCTGTCTGAGGCCAAACAGCGCGTGTCAATGCGTCTCATTCGGTCCGTCCATTATGAGGCTAGTGTAGTGAGACGTCATTAAATATAGTGAAAAACCGACACCAGGTCGATAGTCAGTTTAAAGTGAGATGACGCTTTTTTCTTTTTCCAGAGCATGTGCTCCTTTTACAGCAACAATGAGCGAAATGGCACTTGGCAGCAAAAGTGTCAACTGTCAATAAAGAAATGACAAGAGCTGAATGTGCCAAGAGTTGGAAAGCATGGACGGGTCAAAACAAGCTGACTGGTAAGAACTTCGTGCTTACATAAAGAGTGTTCAATCAACAGCAAGAGTACAGTATTTGTATCATTGAGGAAATCAACTCCTCTGCGGAAGATTTTATATATTATTAAATTATCGTGCACTGTTCTCAGGTAAGGGCTACTGACTCACACGTAGTAAAGACTACTGCTGATCGCTTTGCTTCAACGTTGGAGAAAGGGAGGAGTCAGATGTAACACGTGACAAAACATTGCAAACATGGTGGTGCCATCCATGCCATGAAAAATGAAAGAAGGCGAAAAGGGAGACACAAGACAGAGAGGTAACATTGCAGAAGAAAGTAGCAGGAGCAAGTTTAAAGGTTAGGTTTGAAAGAAAGCTTGAATAGCGAGACAGAGGTATAGCAGGTAGGGCAGAGGATCAGTTTACAACGGAACATTACCTGTTGATTGCTTGGTGAACGGCTGCGGGGAGTTGTGCTAAAAGACGGAGATGCCTTTCCACCACCATATTCCGTTCTAGATGACACTATAACTTGAAGTTAAGTACAAGCGGATATTTTATGCAAATTGTGAGTAGTCTGACAACAGATAAGACTGATCCAATCATCGAAGCTTGTTGCATGTTTACAGTAAAGTGCTGTTTCAGAATCTTGAACTCTGTTTCAAATTTGTTAGCTTTAAATAGCAGTAGCACTAAGGAGAATGCTAAAATATAACGGAATTTTAAATTTTTAATACGCCAAGCGTTAAAATCAAATCATGCCATTTTTTATGTTTGTAAAAAGTCGTTGTCATGCTTCCTACAGTGCCAAAATAGGAAAAGCTCATGTACTCTTCAGTGCAATCCAAAATAGCTAAAAGAGCATGCTCACGTAAGTTATGGCTATTTCTAGCATTAGTAGTCAACTCCATGCACAAACCATTCAGTCGTCTATCTAATATCAAATACTAACTAATGCTCATGCCACATGCACAAGTACGTGAAACTAATGAGGCTAAATAAATGTTAGTGGAACCACTCATGCAATGGTATCGTAGAATATGATTGTTGATGTATCATCGGCTTTATGACTGGGTTGTGGAAGGAACTGACAGGATAGTACTCAATTCCTGATAGATTCATTAGGTTTCGTCCAGATAAACTTTGAAGCAAAATGACTGCAAAGCATGTCATCATTGTGTAGTCATGTCGCACCATAAGTGATATAAAGTCTGACAGACTGAGTTCAGTCATGTAGTGCCTTCGCCTATCCGGTGGTTGATTCATTGTCAGTGCAATGTGACACGGAGCGCTTGAAAAATAGCAGAAAACGAAAATCAATGCTAAAGTCTTCGAGAGGTCCTTTTAGCAGTTCATTAAAAAAGAAGGATGACATATGATTATGATATTGTACAAGAGCGTGAGATAGTAAGGTTTCAAATGCTGAAAAACGAGCATCGTTGTCCTTGTACTTTCAATAGTCTCTTACATCAGTGAACCTGGTAAAGCAAGGACTCTAAAGCCTCTCAATTGTCTGTTCATTTTGGAAGTGAGTAACTTACACCACTTTCAATCGCTAAAATTCATTTCGCTTCTCAATTTTCACAAAACCATGTCACCAGACTTCTTCGTTACTTAGGGTAACTCCCACAGACAATGAAATACTGAATGAAGCCATTCATTTTAATAATTTATTTAAACACTTCATTCGTGCTTAGAAGAGGGTTGATTCCGTGATCTTAACTGAATTGGAAACATGAATAAAACAGAAATTCGACTGCAAGTCAAAACGAAGTAACATGGTGATTAAATTCAAGTTTTAGCCAATATTTTAGCTGTATTGAACAAAGGCATTACTTTACAAAGAGGATGGAATTCTTTTAATGCCCTGAGTCAGTGCGTCATGTTTACAACAGCAGTCGTTCTAATCCATAATGCAAATGCCGACTTTGCAAAACTGAGTTAAGTGCTTACAAAGGAGAAGAATGAGTAGCTGATTTGTGACTTACAATCAGCAGCTGATCTTTCGAAGCCTGGAATGTTGCCATATGCTGACGGTGCTGACCCACTTTCATAACCTTTGTCCGCACTTCTGTTGTCGTCTTGAAGACGGTACACCTGATGCAGATTCGTATCACTAAAAATTAAGTACTGTCAAGCGACCGATCACTGGCCCAGCGTGTTTCGTGAATCAAACGACCTCGTTCAAGCTTCAGGCTTAGCCTAGCGACGAAGTAGTAAAGATTCTATGGAACACTTTCGACTTCTGCTGTCTAAGACTGAAGTGAAAATTATTCATGAAATATAACTTACCTCCTTATGACAATTTCAATTTCGCCTTGTGAGTTGTCGACTATTTGTTGAACTTCTTCGTACGTTTTCCCTGTTAGCGGTACACCGTTCCATGTGAGGATTTGATCACCTGATGTTTTATACATGTTAGGCAAAGAATATTGGCCAACGACAACCAAAATAAATGCTTTATTAAAATGCTGCGAAAAACATTGGAAACAGTGGTTCTCGTTCATCAACAGTGGACGATCAAATACTTATATAATATCTATGAAGGATTCATGAAGATCTCAAAGCATCATAAAAATAAACAGCTCAAAAAAGCAGCTCTAAGGCGAACTATACAACTCTACAGAACTCATCATTAGCGCATGTCTCGTGAAAACACCTGATCAGAACTCAATTGCAATATTATGAATTAAACTTAAAAAAAAGTTTCACGTTCGGAATCGATCAGGAAACTGTAACTATTAATATAACTATTAATCATGATAAAATAAAAGAAAAGGAAGAACGCCAATCAAAACAAGGAGAATGAACCAAATAAAAAATAAATATGGAAGAATATTGGATGGCAAGGCGAGATATACACAGGAAGAAATACACAGTCTGTGATTTCGTAAAAAATGCTGCTGCAAATGAACGTATTCTGCAATTTCAGTGAGATAGCTTAAGAAGTTTGATTATTGAGTAAGCATGCACGAGAACAAAAAATATTGTGTGATTGATAATTAAAATAACTAATTGATTTAAGCGGTTAGACAAGCTTATCAAATAGACTAATCGTATAAACAGGAAGAGCACGAAGAATATTCTGTTTAAAACTTTGAAATGAAACAATTTCACCCAAGCAACAAATAAAAACGTCCCAAAAATCCGAACAATTCAAGACCGATGAATCCTTTATTTTCACTTCAAAGGCAGTTTTTAAGGGATAAGCATTTTACAGCAGATGCATGGATGCTAGAGTAAAGTAAGCGTAAATTATGAGCCAAATTGAAGCTTCTATGCTGAAACGCAGTGAGGTATTCATGTGTTTCAAGACGCGGGAAGTTCTGCAGTGAAAGTCTTAGCAGTGATAATCCGTGTTAAAAAAACACATCAGAGAAATTGCAGCAAGGCATCTTTGTGCTCAGTCTAGCCGGTAAGGACTACATAGATGTGGTGTGAAAGGACACGTTGGGAAATGGTAAAACAAAAAATCAAGGACGGACTCATCCCTGTGAACCAGATCTGCCAGAAATGCTGAGAAAACGCGAAGATGATTTATAATTGCTTCATATACATGAAAATGGCTACCAGCAACGCTATGCTATTAAAAGTACGTTGGTTTGCAAAACGACAGCATGTGAGTTGTCTCCTCTTCCATTCAGAACCATTTTTGAGGGATTAGTAAACTCAGGCTAAACTCAGGCTAGACACCACGTTGAGCGTTTCGGTTGGAGACATCAGACAAAATCAATTTACGTCGGCATATGGTCTTATCTTCTTCGCTTCCGTCTATAATAACCTCCATATACCCTTATTTTGTTCACTGCCATATGCCATGAGGCTTGGACAAGAATCAGCCTGACTAAAATCTAGATTATTGTGCTTCTGAGAAATGCCACTCCGTGGCTCTACAGGTAAGTAGAGTGAAACTGAAGCAGGTGTTGAACTTCAAATATCTTGGGGTTGCATTCACTAGTGATAATAGGTAGTATGTAAAGTGGACACAAATTGTTCACACGTGCGCAGTAACGCAGGAGCTAAAACGGTCTCTGATGACGAAAGAGCTGAATCAAAGAGCAGTCGAGATAATTGGTTGAACAGCAATGAGTTTGCATCTGTAGTGAAACCTGTTTTATGCAGATACCTTCATCTCTGACTGAGTGCTCGCTGCTGAGCATACAAATGTGATCCTCGTCATAAGCCGCTGAGGTGAACTTTTTCCTCAACGATTGCTATCATGTGACTGACTGAGATTCTGAACGCGGCAATCCGAGAATGCAAGCCACCCCGGCCTCACATTGAAAAAGCACACTTACGACGATTTACATATGAGATCTGGTTATCAGGGAAGCGACTTCCATCAGAACTCTGGCAGATAACGAGTAATATGCCAATGGACAGATAACTCGATTACTACGACGTGACATCGTCGTGCCTTAGGACTAAGCCGAACGAGTTTAAAAGTTCGACGGAGGACTGTGGCTATTGTAAGGGCTTCTTGAAAGAGTTACCGCAGAATATGAAAGTAATAGAGGCATTGAAAATGAATGTGTGAAAACCCAGAAATTTTGGAATGAAAGAAAGGCAATACGGACTTTCAACAGGATATTTTCATTGCAGTGAAGGCCATTCTTCACAAAGACTATGTCCAGAACTCTTCTTTGATCTAATGGAAGGCATTAGTAAGGCAATATATAGAAGCATGTCGAAAAAGAAACTAACTAAAATTGAAACAAAGGATAATCGGTGGAGCAGCTGACCTTCATTTACTTCTCCCATGGTGTCAACCAAGCCGCCCTTATAAATAGCAGCTACATAAGCGACCAACTGACGTTCTGATCCGGGAAGAATCTTTCCTCCGATAACTCTCATTCCAAGCCCTGAAAACTGATATTAATCAATGAATAAATTTGTAGACTTTGTACCTTTGGCAGATTTATCCTTTGAAGCTCTGGTTAACAATATGCGTTTCACTGCGCCGGTACTGGTGTAGCCCGAACGGTCCAATCTGTTGATCAAATTGACATCGCAGTTCTATGATTAACTGATCAGTTAGTAATATGAAGCATCGAATAACCATCGCATTGAGCAGTTGGGTGGATGTGTGCAACGAAGCTCTTATGTGAGTGAAGGTGAAATATGACAATTTTCTCGCTAAGCATGGAGCAGCCTAAAATCTTACATGATGCTCAATGCAGACTGCAAGAAAGCACTAAACAAGGCGAATGGTGACATACTCGAGAAACGCCGAAAGAAATATCGTTCACATCTATGGAGAAAACTACAAGCGTTCTGAAAATACTGTATTACATTACTTGGTCTGAGAATAATTAATAGTGATCTGCATATCAATATCAGCACCAAAGGTTGCATTCGTTATGACGTGCCTTCCTATGGGTTTGAATTGCACTTGTGTCCCTACCTATTTTTAAGAATGAACTAATACTTTAAGAGGGTAACAAAGACATCTTTGGTAACATGTAGAGCGAAAACATGATTGCGGAAAAACGGTTCAGTTGTGTCCAGCCTTAGCAGAACGTCATCGATCCATCTTCAGCATGAAGGAACGATATACATTTAGCAACAATATCGTTCCTGCAACAGATTAAGACCTTTTGTTAGAAAATGATTTATCAAAGTGGAAAAATTACCTCTTGGTTGCGTTAAACTGAGAGCGTATATGTCAGTGCTACATATAATTCAGCAACTTTTTCGAGATGGTGTCAGAGCAACGTTATTAATGACAGATTAACTATTTTTAGTTACACAGCCAAATCACCTACGATGATATCGACGTTTTGTACACTTCACATCAAGCGTCATTAACTTGCATCTA